GATGGACCGGGACTGCCGGTATCAATCGCATTCTAGAGGCTCAGCTGCTGCACTCCTGCCAAAGATCCTGAAAACACAACAGATTTCGCGGAGAGCAAAGGTGCAGACGTTTACAAGCGGAGAGAAAGCCAGTGCATGATTTGTTGAGTGGCATGAACCCAATAATGCGCACCTCGAGCAGAGCTTCGGAGGGAGGAATTGCGGGGTTCCTAAGAACAAATCACTAGCCACAAACAACGGACCCAACTACTGCATGCGCTCTTGTCTGCATAATTCATCATCCTCACCGGTATGCTGGCCAACACTCAGTTTTGGTACTCACCCAGCATCACACCGGGGTTGTTTTTGTGTGGTGATTTCGATTCGCAATACGCGCGATCGTCCGGGAACAGAGAAGTTGATTTCGACAGTTGGATGCAAGCAAGGGGCCAGAATAACTATCCTTCGTGCCTTGCGTGTCGGCGCGAGATTCGAAGGCGTCAGCTGAGGACCTGCCACAAAATAGTCGCCTCCCGTCGCGCCATGTTTCCGGCCTTACTCTTACTAGGACTTGTTCCTGTTGCAGTGGGTTTCGATTTCACTTGGGCTCAGCCCACGCGCTTTGCAGAGCCCACGGGAGGCCGCAGTCTGAGCGGAGGTGTGATCCGTCAGAATTACATAGATCCTGAGAGCGGACTGCGATTCCATTTGCAACACGACACAGTGCAGCGAGAGGGTACCCAGATCATCTTCCTGGATCAGCTCGAGGGCATTCTTGGTGCAGACTGTCCGCAGGACCCCGGAAGTCTTAGGAGGGTGAGGGGCTTTGCAGTTCCAGAGCTGCAAGGTTCGAAATCGGAAATCCCAAGTCCCTCAGGAGCGTGTGTTGCTGCTGGCATTCTCTCGGGCAGATGCACTCAACAACTTCCTGGAAGCCACCTCGTCACTCCAGGGTCGTGTCGTCCTCGCATCAACGCGTCATCCGGCTTCTTGTGGGGGCGAGGCGGATTGCCGTGGCTCCATTCCGGGTACTTCCGGGTTGATGTTTCGGAACTAAGAGGCTTAGAGAATATCTTGGGAAGCACTTGCAGGTGTTTTTGGGCGAGGTGGCGCCCAATGGAGTGCAAACCATCGAAGCTCCCCAAGTTTCCCAGCACGGGGTTTCCGTGACCTACACTTCCACAGACTACGGCAGTGTTTTCGAGTTTGCCAACATCACCGTCTCGGCACCATTGGCCGCCGTTGCGCCCAAGATGCCGGTCAAGCTGGAGCAGCCAGAGGACCAGAAGAGCAAACCCCGGCGGCTTTTCCTGTCCTCCATCTTGAGGCTTGGCAGTTCGGCAACTTTCAAGATCTTTGAGGATGGCCGTATGTTGAAGCACACAGGGCATGCTTGAAGACTAAGGAAGAGCACCTGGAGGGCTGTGAAGGGCCTCGCCAGTGCTGCCCTTGCACCCGTCTGGGTGGCATTAGAGGCATTGGGCTTGGACGAGTTCAGCGCCTCCAAGACCTTCAAGATTTTCGCCTTTGACAGAGGAGCTGTCCGCAAACGATAGCCGAGCTTGCGTACAGCAGCCGACCTAAAACCGGAATTTTAGTGAACGGTCAGGGTGCGAAGCCGCGCATTTATGACTTGCTCAGGGGGATAGGGCGGTCAGGGGCTGTTTTGTTGGTCGCCAGGGAGATTAAAGCAGGAGACCAGCTGAAGACGGCCATCCAGCAGGCAACATCTTGCAACTCCTGCGTCTCTACCTGCGAGGCATCCTCGAAATTAACCGCAAGAGTGATCTTCCAGATGAAGAGCCTTGATCAGCTTTGATCGGAGCGTCTTGGGGATTGTAGAGCTGTGTTCAACGGTCACTGAAATATCTCTCCCTGGCACACCCGGGTTCCAAAACTCTCATCCCATCCACTCACTTTTCTTCTTCCGGGACCGATGAAACCTCGCGGAACATGTGTAAGTCCCATTGGCCCGAAGCATCCGTGATGCCATGCGGACGGCAGAAGTAAGCTTTTGCAAGCCGAAAAACGGCAAGTAGACGTATATCCCAAACGCTGTGGCCGGCGACCGGTAAGATGGCAGGGGCAGGCAAGTCTAACTAGCAGATGCTGCAGCGCTTCAACCGCTTTCGATGACTGAAGCCATATAAGCCACCAGTCACCCCCGAACCCTCGAAGCACAGAAGCCTCATCAAACCGAGGATCTCGGGGGGCGCTACCGAGCTGGCCATGCTGGAGATCAAAGGCGTGGGCTCCCAGAGACGGGAGGCTTCTGGAGGTTTCGTGGGTTCCAATCGACAGGGACCGGCATGTCCTAAACTGCAAGGCTGAAGCCTTTTGTGCCCAAGCAGGCACCCTGGCCAATCTCCTGGAAGTCAGTGGCAAGAAGGTGGCCCAACTCTCTGAGGCTCTCCCGATGTTTGGGGGCTCTCACCTGGAGCTAGGTGGCTGCCTCTGTAGGGTGTTCTTCTCCGGTTATGCAGGACTCTCCCTCACCCTGCAGCTGCGAGCAAGTTCACGTAGCAGCAACTGCATCTGTCCCATTTGCGGCTGTAGACTGGAGAGATAGCCTGAGACAGGAGAGGCAGCTGTTCAAGTTTCCGCGAGTTCCCATCAAATTCATGGTGGGGGTTGTTCCCGCACCTTGGTATCTTTCGAACCTGCTGCACGAGGGTATGGTCAAGTCTAGTCTAGATCCGAACCAGGCATGATCATCGCGGGTGTCTGCCGGTGGCCAAGGTATATTTGCAGGTGGATGCGGGCCTGTATGCGGGCGTCAAAGCTTCCGTTGAGGCAAGTTATGGTCTGACTGCGGCGGCAGATGCCAGCCTGACGCTTACTGCAACCTATCGGAGCAGCACTGGCAGGGTAGAGCGGAGCTTGAACTTCAATTGGGACCAGCTTGACGCCAAAGCCACCTTCGACGGAAAGGCCACAGCAATGCTGTACTTGAAGCCAGTGGTGACGTTTACAGCATACAAGATCCTTCAGGCAGCATTCGTCTTGAAAGTCTTCTACCAAGCGATCTGGACGTTAGAAGGTGAGGCTCTCGCGGGCGAATGCTCGGCAAACCTCAAGAAATTCTGGGGCTTGGACCTGTCCCTGACCGTGAAGATCCGATCCATCTTCACGAAGTCATTCAACCTTTATGCGAATCAGTGGCCTCTGGCAGAGAGGGAGGATGATTGTGGCCCGTTCGTAAGTCTGCCTAGCAACTTGCTAACGAACTTTGTGGAGGGAACGTCTGATGATGATGATGGGTCGGCAGTGTCGGATGATGCCTCCGGCGACGAAGGCGGCAGCTCCTCGAGTCCTTCGACTCAGACAACGCAAGATGGCTGCAGGTGCAAGCAGAACTGGACTGCAGACTGGAATGGCTCCGAAGTCAGCTGCGACAGCTACTGCTGCCGGTTCGAAGGATCTTCGGGTTTTTGTGTGAAGGAAGACCCGACGTGCGGCACGGAGTGCTGGGGCAGCTGTGACACACGACGGCTTACCACCTGCGAAAGTGTTCAGCCATTCTGCAATGCGAACGCTTGCGAGAATGAGCAGCCAGATTGTTCCCAGCGCCCAATTTACCAGCCTGTTTCGTGTTTGCAGTTCGAATATTCAAGATACGGCAAGTAAGCTACAGCTGACCAATTCACGTTTTGTGGATTCAGGTCTCCGCTGTGGTTTCTGCGGCCAAGATGACGTCAGCGACACCGGGGGGAATTCCGGTTCCAGTGGTGCCCCATCACCCAGCGCAGGCCCCTGAAACCAAACCTCCTGCTCTTTAGATCTGTAGCTCACAGGCCACAGAAGCAGAAGCAGCACGCAGATAGACGTGCCTGGCCGTGTAATGTGCACGAGAAGGCATTGAATTCCACAATGAAGCTTCAATCTTCGGGGGATTCGGGTATCTTCTGTCCATGCAGCGGTAAGGGTTCGATTGGACAGTGCGGCCCTGTCCATCTCTCGCATCAGCAACATCTAGAAGGCCTGAAGTCTCTCTAGCCGCTGACAAGACGGAGTTCGTAAAGGCCGCGAAACTTCGGGCAAGTCCGGGAACGGCCACCTCAAGCAAGCTGCCATCAATTGATTGCGAACCGGCCGCAATGCTTCTCTGACACCACCCATGGAGCCGGTCTCTAAAGGCATGTCGACACAAATTCCAAGATACTGACTTCCGGGTCTGGAAACCCTGTGACTCCTGTGACACGAACCCCACGAGAATTTGAACTTGAGATGCGAAGTCAAAACTCGGCAACCGCCCCATGGCCCTTGGGTCAGGTTCGGGGTCCGCTCTGAGTCTCGCGTCGCACCGCTTGGGTGACCTCTGGAACGGCGACTAGGCAGCACGGCATTCTGCGTCTCGTGACAGCCGTGTAGAGCCGAGGTCTCATTGCCCCCATTGCGGATGGGAGCTGCCCTGACAATCCGTCTGCTGAGCTCGTTCTGCAGCTCGTGGAGGTCAACGACTGGGGTGGCGGCAACGGTCAGATGACGTTTATGGGCGCTACCAACGTCATCTTGCCGGACGGCCGATGCACCGTCAGCTTGAGCTACGTGGCCAATCTCTACGGTGGCAGCATTCAAGGTGGCACTTTGAAGCCCAGCGCAAATGACGACTTCTTCGGTGATTGTGACGGATTCGAGCTGCCATACGGCTGGAGGGTGGATGCAACCACAGCCCGCATCGCGGGGGAGGATACAATGAATTGCTACAGCGTTGACTTGCAGGCATCGGTTGCTTTGCCGACTTCGAGACGACTTTCCACGTGCGTTGTGGATCCAATCGCGACAATGTACATTGCCACTGTAGATTCTGCAGCTATCAGCTCTGCAAACTTTGCAGTGCAAAGTTCGCCACTGTTGACCTATTTCAGACAGTGCTGTTTGCTTTCGATGCTTGCTGTTGAATTTGCTCTTTGACCTAGATGGCTTCTTTTTGCAACGCGCCGCAGTCAAACTGCTTGGATGTGTTGCGTACTGCTGTCACAGGACCCGCCTTGACAGAATCCCTTGCACCTTCCCGAGCAAACGATGCTCGGTCTCACCCAACACTATAATACAATGAAAACTCGACTGCCGGCTTGCCGCGAGCGTTCCTGAAGCCCCCGAAGTGACGCCTTAACTGATGCAGTAGTGAACCGACCCTGCCAGTTGCATCCTCTAACAATTTTGTGGCAGACCTGTCTCAAAGATGGCAGTGCACGTGTTTGCTCGCAACCGAGACGGTAGGTGATAACTTTGACAACGCATGCGGACTCGAAGCAAGGTCGGCGAGTGCTAGACGCTTGCTTCTAGTTGTCCCCTAATGGCTTCCATTAGGCCCGTGCCGCACAGATCCTCTCACGGTGCCCTAAGCAACACGTGCATTGCAACCCCGGCCTCCAGTGTCAGCACTGTCCAATCAATGCACCCTGAACCTTCGATGTCCCAAGCACATCCATATACACGGACTGCGTAGCCGCCCTTTGCCCACATGGAATTTGCGGGGATGCATCCTGTTCCGGAATCCAGCGGCAGCGAGGGCGAATCGTCTCAAGAGGTCGCAGATGCGGAATGCGGATTCCTGAAGAACTTCCAGACAATTAACATCCATGCCTGGGAGGCCTCCGACAAAACCGAGGAACGCTTCGGTCTAGACCTTGGGCAGAGGCTTCCATCACCTTTCACCCTTTCTTTGGGTCCTGACGAACTCCTCTTTTGCCGTTGAAGGCTGCGGGCCTCGCGCAAGCCCTTTTTTGCGGCGGTCTCCGTGGAGCTGTTGTTCTGCGCCAAGCACTTAGAAGAGCTGAAGGCATGTGATCCGTCTCAGAAAGGCGCTCCTTGCGGCAGGCGTTGATGACCAGATGGGTGCGGGAGGAGGATGTGCACTTCTCCCCACTGGAGAGACTCTTGCCCAGATCTTGACAACTCAGATTTCAGGTTCCATTGTGATGTGGTTAGAGGTCTGTTTGCTCTACGCAGGCCGTACCATGACATAGGCATGGACCTGACCCAACGATTTTTTCTGAGAATGGATCCCCGTGGATGCGAAAGAGCTTTGGCTGCAATTATGACCTGTCCAACAACACCCTTCCAATTCCGAATACACATGGGCTTTGCTTGGGACATGTGGCTGCGAATATCGTATAGCCAGCTGCAAGCAAGCACTCTGTGGTTGCACGGACCTTCTGCGTGGCGCCGCCGGGCATGGGCTCCCTGTTTGCGGTTTGCACTCCCTTACCCAGCGCGCTGTTGCCGCTGTCAGCCGATTGCCAGCCGACTGCTCCGGGCATTCTCTGCGCCTTGAGAAGCATGGACATGTCCGACAGAGCCGTGAAGCATGTCCAGCATGGAGGCATGGAGGTTCACGCCTGAGCGGATGCCCCTGAAGAAAGCATGACAAGAGACTCAGCTCGAAGTAACTGGAACTCAGCTGCAGGATTTGGTGAATTTTTGCTGGGGCACATTCATCGTGACAGGCCTCATGAGAGTTTTCTGCATCTTGGCAGCAAGGTCCCCAGCATGCAAGCGATTGTGGATGATGGATCGGCATAGCTGAACCCCAGCCACGCTCAAGTGGGTCCGCCAGGGGCAGTGTGATCCAAGCGCTGCAACCCCAAGTTGCAATTACTCCAGATCTGCAATGTCAAAGCTCTAAGACTCAACATAGTGTCGTGAAGCCTGAGCCATTCGTTCAACATGACACCCTGAAGTCCCCGAAGCTGGAAGTGCTATAGTTCCTCAGCCAAAACTATCTGGCGCCCAAGCTCTAAGCCCGGATGAAATTCGCTTAGGCATCTGGGGTCTGCCTCACGTCCGCACGAGCCCTAGGGCCGTTCGAATCGGCACTGCTGGGACCTTAGTCCAGCTAGCAAGTTCAGCAGCAACAACCGCAAGCAATGCAGAAGCGTCTATCGCGACAACATCCAGGACACTTTGACATCAAGCACCGACACTAACAGCAAGCACCAAAAACACCACATGAACTTGATAAGTCACGGCACACAGTGCACAGTGACATCAAAATCCAACGATGATTGGTATGTCTGCCACAAGTAGTCACCAGTCACCTTGAATGCGCTTCTGTGTGACATGACGGGGGCTGGACACCAGGCTTCAGCACTGTCATCCATTCAGGCATTGCTTCCAGGGGTTAGTGCCGTTAGTAGTTTCTGTTTGAGGCCATCTTCATGCTGGCGGGCACCTTGCAGTGGGTGCACCTCGGCTAAGAGCCTCTCACGCCGGTCTGCTCTCTTCACAGAAGGCAACTGTTTTCGACTGTTCTGCTCTGAGGATCTATCTCTCGGCCTTTTATGTGGAATACGATGCATCCACACCTGTGGATCGGGTGCACGATGTGAGAATGGCAATGCAGGATGTGGGAGGGATAACAGAGTATCAGGGGCAAGCTGCTTACTCAGTCAAAAATGGCGATGTTCGAGGCTAAGTAGGGCCCTGGAAAAGCAACACCTCCCCTCCGATGCTGTATACTCCCAAACCCCAGCCCACAAAACCCGAAAACACTTCAGATGCAGCCAGCCCCTGATGTTGGAACGCTCCGCGAACCAGGAGGTCCCCACCTTTCTTGGTGCGCCCTTGGCCTCCTGCCTCCGCGAGAATAACTGGAGCTACTCTGTGCCTCGGACACCTTCAAAGATCCTGGGGCTGGGAGGTGACTGCATACTGGCGCTCGGAATAACTCCCGATTGAGCGGAGCCTTTCCTGATGTCTGCATGCGACCAACTGTTCTCATCAAGATGTTGCTGCATCGTTGATGTTGGTACATGTGCTGCCGCTCCGCCCGAAAGCATTGAAAAGCCTTAGTAGCGCCTTGGGGCAGCGCAGAGACGAATCCTGAGCTGTCAGGCATGTCGATTGAGGGTGACGAAGAACTGCACGATGCCCTTCGAGTCTGGCAAGCAGTATACAGACGGAGCTTGCGTGGAAACCGTCGTGACCTAGCTGAAGAGCAGGGCAGTTCCCAGGCGCAAGCTCCCAGCGAACTGAACTCTGGACTCTAGGGACTCTGTGGCTCCCACGAATGAGTTGAGGTCGTCGCCGGCCAGCTGTGCTGCGTGTGCGAAAGGGTTGTCCTTGGAAAGCCGTTGATGGAGTTTGGTTTGGGAGTAGACGACGTCTTCATGCTGGTAAGATGGCTGGCGATTCTGATGCTGGGTTGGGTGGTGCGTGGTTGGGTATCGACTCCTGCTGCGAACTCCTTTACCAGCGGCGCCTGGCTTGACATATTGGATGCTGTGGTCTTTAGCGACTGGGCAAGATCACCGTTCAAGCTTTCAGCGGCTCCAATGTGCATTCCAGTGACTAGTGGCTCGTGAATGCTTGCTTTCTGCGATAATTAAATTACACGCGGTTGTTCGAGCACCCAGACGGGTGAACACATTAAGCCTCTGTTGGACTGCAGGTGACAACATCCGGTCCCCAGCAGTTCGCCATCCTGCGTATGGCATCGACTTCGACGGCAGCATGCGCCCGAAGGATGCAACGCCGCCTGCCTCGTTGTCTTCATGGCTCGTCGCAACAGCTTCATATCGCTATATGAGCATACCGCGCTTTTGCAGCTGATTGTAGGTGGCGCAAGCTGCTAGTCCTGAGCCTTAAGAAGCATGTATGTCCCCAAGCCAGGGTCTGAAAACGGGCAGCTTGATGACAGGACCTTGGTTCATCTCGTGCTAACACGTGGATACTGTTGAAACCTGACATAGTCGGGGCATCAGGTTGCAGCGCCATTGCTGTACAGACCGTCATGTCTGGTTGTGGGAGGAGTTCATAAACACGCCGAGCATCCCGAAGCCACCCCAAACTGCTGCCACCAACAAGCCCCTGACCAACAAAGCCCCTTTGCTCCAAGCCCCAATGTCTTTCCACAGTTTTCTGCAGAGAAGAGGCTTTTCGTTGCTGTCTCTCTGACCTGGGTCGTGGCATTTACCACTGTGGTGCTCCGCCTTAAGCTGACGGAGAAAGGTTCAGTATGGTTCAGAGTGCAGGAAGGGAGGTCTCAGCGAAGGCCAGGTCAGCTTTACTTCGAGGTGGCTGCTCAGCCGTGTAGCAAGTATCGACTCATCAACAGTGCAGAGTCACAAAGTCCACTCCGGACCCTTCGCAAAGTGCTGGAGATGTGCCCGAACCCTGGAAATCATCTCGAAAACAAAGTTAAGGTGCTGTCTCCTGCACTATTCACCACGTTGATGCCTGCAGCCAAGGCACCGAACCGCTGCCTGCAAATAGGGTTGGGGCATGTCGAAGGCACTTGTTCCGGGTTCTGGGTAGGCGCGCAAGATCATCACGATGTCGAGAGCGAGACTTGCTTCTTCGTGAGAGTCAAAAGGGCAACCCAGCGATTAACATCAAACAGATCGCAGCTGTCCACCGCGCCCTTGCTTCGCGAAGCAAACTAACTCCCCAAGCTTCTGAAGGAGAAGGCACCCAGCATCGACGAGCTGAAGGAAGAGCAGATGCGCCGTCTGAAGGTGAAGCCGGATTGGAGCGAATAAGCCCCACACCCCGCCCCTAGCGGCCCGAGCGCATGCTGCCTGTTGTGTGCATGGATTTGTGCTTGCAACGTTCTGCCTTCCCCTCCGTCTTGTTGACTGTTCATGCATGCGAATGTCAAATCTACCCTCGGCCAGATTGGGGGCACGGGCTGTTTGTCCGCAGATCTTGTTGCGATGCTTCCAGTCGACCTTCTTCTAAACACTCCATTGCCAGCGTCTGTGTCTGCCCAAAAGTCGGGGCAAACACACGCTTCCTGTCTGCACTTCCGACCGGAAGGCCCCCAATCCTGAAGCCTGCACTTCTCCTCACTTCCATAAGAGTCCAGCGGTTTCAGGCGTGACCCCGCTTTACTCAGAGACATGACCTTCAGGACAGCTTGGCATGCTCGGACGAGCACGAGGTGGGGGGGTCGGGGGCGGGGTGCTTGGACCACGCTCCGAACGGCCTTGATGGCCCCCTGACGATCAGGCCAGGGCAGCAGCGGAAACCGCCCTGGAGCTGCTCCGTCGGAGTGTGAAGGAGCGGCAAGGAGCCCGCCTGCAGAGAATGTATGAATGTGCTTCTGCCTGTCTGTCCTGTCCTGTCGTGTCGTGTCTCGTCTCGTCTTGTCATGTGTACTCTTGTAGTCTCTTGTATTATGCTTTATTCTGTTCTGTTCCAGCCTAGTCTATTCTAGTCTATCCCACTCTATTCCATTTCATTGTATTCGTTTCTATTCCATTCATTGTATTGTATTGTATTGTATTGTATTGTATTGTATTGTATTGTATTGTATTGTATTGTAGTCTGTTGTCGTCTTCTATATTCTATTGTATTCTATCCTGTTCTGTTGTTCTCTGCTGTACTGTATTGTATTGTATTGTGTTGTATTGTACTGTATTGTATTGCATGGCACTGCATTACATTGTATTGTAGTACATTGCGTTGCATAGTATTGTATGTATGCGTGTGCATGTCGGCATGTACTGTATGCGCGTGCGTATGGCACATAGCTGCCATATCCGTGAACTTTTCGATCTCTTGGAGCAATGACTATCCGATTCCTTGAACCAGTAAATGCCCCCGGCTTAATCTTGACGCCTGAACTCAGCTTGTGCCGCGGACTGCTTGCATCTTCGAGGAACTGAATATGCCGGACATCCCGTGTGTGTAGTGGCCTCAGCGGTCGGATTTTTCACCGCTCCGCTGCCTTGCCTGTGCCTGTGCTTTGCTTGGGATCTTGTCAGAGGTGGATGTTCAGGATGGCTCCAACAGCGAACCTCGCCGTGCTCGCCGCTTGATTAGCCAAGTTGGGTTGGATCACACTTAGAGCTGCCTGGTTTGATGTCTCATGGTTTCGGTGTTTCTGTATCCTGGCGCTGCCGGCCGCACAGGAATCCTCCGCGAAAGTCACCGGGCAACTGCAGGGAGTTCCGAGGCTGGATCTTGAGCGCCTTTAAGCTTTCCATGGTGAATAGACCACCTTCTCAGTCCGAAGCGCTCGATGCGCGCTTCTCAGGGGGCCTACCTGGTGAAGTTCACGGATGGGCGGAGTCCATCTGAGCAGATTGTCCCGCTGGAGCACATCCATCCCAGCATTGACCATTCAGAGGAGTGCCTCAGCCCACCGTAGGCATCTGATCTGGAGTGTGCGTGTCATGGCAGGATAGAAAAAGCTGCTGCGCGGGCTGGCTGTCCTGTGACGACATGGATGAGGCGACCTTCTGTGAGCTTCCGCGCTCCGACTGTCCTGAAGTCTTCCGGAGATGTTGATCCGTTTCCCTCCTTGGTCAGGCATCCGAGCTTGATCACTTTCTCCGACGGGCGCAGCTCCTGGATGCAATCCGCTCGCTTTTTCTTTTGGAGCTCCCATTCCTCTGCTGGCGGATATACATTGAGCCTCGGATTGTATAGTATAGACTGTACAGAGTATAGTACGGAGCCATCGAAGAGCATCAGATTCGCTGGAGGACTGGTACACTGTGGATATCGCCAACGCCCGGCCCCTCGCAGCAACGAATACAAGCGAGGTGCGAGTTCGAGGCCTTTGAGTGACCTAAGCCATCCCAAGAACGCCCCAAGCCGGTGAGCCCGAACTCGTATAAAGCAGTTCCCGTAAACCTAGCAAGGATCCTGTTCATCTTGAAGAATGCGATCTGGGCCGCCGTGGATTTCCTCACGATCCTGAACTGCGGCGGCGACGGCGGTGTGATGTGCTCTTGCAGACCGCTGAGACACGTAAGCGGCCTTGCAGGTCGAAGCCCGGGGCTGGCGAGACGGGGTTCCGGTACTTCTTGAGAGTTCCTCTAAAGCTTTCAGTCTTCAAGTTCGTCTGCGCTTAGGGGTCTGAGCTGAGGATGCGATAGCATGGGATTTAGTGCAAGGGTCAAGAGCATTGCAGAGCTTGAACCGACACCTCTGTTGACTGCACCCTGCTCGCCAGACACGCAGCTGGGCAAGATCTGGATCGGTCCTGCAGGCTTGTTTCTGTGGAGGACTCAGTGTACCCTGTTGGCAGGACCTATCCTAACCCCAGGCCTGTACAGCGTTCTGCCCGCCCAGGCTTGCAGCTCAAGTCGCCAGCTCAGTACTCAAGCTCCGGCTCAACAACCGCCGGGTACCTTGGTGACGCAGCACGGTCGGTCACCTATGGTAAAACACGACGCTGTCAATTGTAGAATCCTCGTCCTCGTCGTCGCTGTCCATCGTTGTCGTCGTTGTCATGACTAGGATTCGTGGTCCGTGCGACGACGGTAGTGATGGCCGTCGGTGTCTTCTTTGATGCTGCCTGTGTCACAACCACGACATGTACCCTGCTGTTGCAGTAAGTTCTTTGCTGTTGCTGGGACTCGGGATTTCTATCCATATACACGAGAAGACGTATCAACTTGTTCGGTCGACTTCAAGGCGTCTTTGCGCAAAGATCTCTCAGCTGTGTATTCTCCAGTTTCTGCTGATGGAGACATTGAGATCCCTCTCGCACTCTTTGAGCACCTGGCCCTTGGGCCAGGGATGGGGGAAGGAGGTGTTAAGCCTGTAAAGCCTGAAGCCGAATAGCATTCCAATGCGAGGCAAACCTGCTCCTGCATCGTGCCTGGCTCCAATCTGAGCGGAACAGCACTGGGACTGGTCGCCAGTTGTTCGTGCCCCAGCATCATGCAACCAGTCGGCAGCGTGCACCAACAATGTCAAATGCAACCACTTTGCCTGTTTTTGCCAGGCATAATGCGAAGTTGAGAGAGGTTGCAAATCAGTCGCTGGGCCATGATTCAGCTAGAAGGAAGACTAGTCAGCGGGACCAGCTGGGGGAGACGAGGCTCATTTCACGCACCAGGGACGATCGGAGAGAATGCGAACTTTTTTCTGCCTGGTGGCTTAGGTTGGATTTAATTGACGAGAAACTAGGCTACGCCCAGCTGGCATAGATGCTGGTCAACCTTATCGTCGCCTGGCAGCATTGCGAGTCACCTTCCGCAGGCAAGTCGAGCGCAGTTGGGCTGGTGCAGAAAACAGGGTTGCATGGCTGTTGATGCTGTGCTGAGGTCGACAGGCATGATGGGCGAGATGTCCTGCACACGGTGCAGCACCCTCGCAGTGGGGATGTCGTCTTTGAAGCGAGGCAGCAAATCATTGTGAGAGTTTGGGGTCGTCGAGACTGGCGAATAGTCCAAGAATGACCCGGCCAGTCCGCTTGCACGCCGAGCTCGGGCCCATCTTCGACAGAATCTGTCAGGGGCTCCGCGCGCTCCGCGTGATCCAGGCCTCAGGTTGCTCTGAGAGTGAAGACGCCTGCACAGATCGGCGAGCGGACGAAAAGGGTCGACAAACGAAATGGGGAAAGTCATGATGCAATGGAGGACTTGGTTTTGCCTGCTCCCGTCCGACGCCGCTCTCAGGTGCGTTGCCTTGAGTCAGATGTTATCGAGCTCAGCATGACCTGGCACGCGATTACGACTGCAAGCACATCATTAAGCTTGAGCTACAGCAGCCATGTGACTCTTCCGCTTGATCCTCCTACCAACTCCCCAGTTGTAGCTTGTATGCCCATAGGCGAGCATAGGATAAGCTTCTCGGACGGCCGGCCGTGCAGATTGCCAGTCATGGCAAGGGTCTTGGATGTGACCGGATGCCAACACTCCTTTTCCTGAGGGGATTTTTCTTGAGGGATCATGCAAACTCTGCTGTACGAAACACTTGGAGCTGTCGACGTTGCCACAATGTTTTTGGGTGATGGCAGCATGCTGCTCTTGCAGCTGCTCAACAAAGCTTCGGAGGTTCGGCAGATGAGGCTTTCAGGCGAAGCGCTTGACAGCGTCTGCAGTGGCAAACAGACCCTGTTACTATTGCCGTTACCCTACAGCCCTAAAGTTTCATAGCATTCGCAGCGGACCCTCTACACATGTGTTGAGAATCCCGCTGCAGTGGGGATATCACACCCAAAGTGCGACAACGTACGGTTTGAAGCTGTCAATAATGGAAAGTAAGCCCGTACCCCCAAAGCCTAGCAGCCTGAAGAAGCGGACTTCTACGTGTTGTGAGTCATGGTTTGCAGCATCAAGACAAGTATGTATCTTTCTTCTGTGCTATGTCTCCCAATTCTGTCTGGGCTGTTCCGTGAGCGACCAAGGTTCTCTTGCTGTCGAAGCTGCCCTTCAACAAGCTGATGCTGCTCGGTGCGCGGCTAAGACCCTGCGGCCCATGGTCCTTCGACCCGACATGTCAAGCCACCCGCACAGTCGAGCACTGCACAGGAAGAGATGGTAGATAGTACGTATGGTCCACACGACATGGTGTCGTCGATTCGCTTCTTTGTATGTGTGATGACGATGCCGCATGAGTGCTGACAGTTCCAGAAACTCTGCGAGAATTGATATTATGTCTTGTGGGTGGCAAAGCGGGCGGGGTAGCACAAACAATTTCCCGAACACCCACCGCAGCATTGAAGCATTCAAGCGAAACGGCACGGCATCTGCCCAGAGGCGTTCGCCAAGCTGCCCGACCGGTGGCGAAGCTCGCCATGGCCGGGGCAGAGCGAAGTCCTGCCTTCCAGGCAAAGTCGCTGCTAAAAAGGTGCTGCTGCGGTCTTGCCGTTGCAGGCTCTATCACAGCAGCACCCTTTGGTGAAAAGATGTAGAGCTGAGGGTGGGGTTTTGTTGGAGTTCGGGTTGTTGGGTGTAGGGACTTGAGTCAGAGAGTTTCAGGTCTGCTGGGCTAGTGAAGGGATGCGTGTGAGGATCTTCGAGCAATCGAGCCGCAGGGCGGTGCTTGCGCCGTAGATGGCATCAGCCCCTGCCTTGAACCCCAAACCACGCGTCTTGTTGCCAGACATGTGAAGTCAGTGAAGACGTCTTGTGCCTTGACAGGACTGCTGCATCTATGCATCGAGACTGCTCCAGACGGAGACGTCGGGTGAAGTGCAGAGTTTTTTGTACTGGGGCTGGAGGCTGCAGGGCTTCAGATGGCTCAGGCTCGGGATGGGAGCCATAGGAAACGACCTGAAAGCTTCCCATCAACTGTTTAGAACCCGTCGCAGTGCCCGCTGCTTGAGACTCTCCTAGATAGACTGAGTATGCAGCATGCCTGTTCAGGCTGCCGGCAATCGGAAGTCCCTTCCTTCTTGCTCTTGAATTGATGCTCCTCCTTGCGCTCACGGGCCTCGTGCTTTCTACATGGACTCCACCTTCTCCCAAGCGAGGTGTTTTCCCAGTGTTCGCAGCCTGAACCAATACCTATTGCTCACTTTGAGGTCTTCCGAAGTATCAGTATCTTGTGCCGTGCTTGGAACCAGCTGCGCCGACGTTCGATCGGTACTCCGTGTGGAAACCGAGAAGTCCGTGTGCCACCTGAAGCCTCGAACACTTTGAGCATTCTGGAACCACTTCAACCGCATCAATCACCCAAGCGCGACAGATAACTACAAGAAGTTGTGAAAAGGAATTGAGATAACAGTAGCGTCGTCGTCGTCGTCGTCGTCGTCGTCGTCGTAATAGTAGCAGTCGTAGTAGTAGCAGTCGTAGCAGTAGCAGTAGAAGTAATAGCAGTAGTAGTAACAGTAGTAGTAGTAGTAGTAGTAGTAGTAGTAGTAGTAGTAGTCGTGGTGGTGGTGGTGGTAGTAGTAGTAGTAGTAGTAGTAGTAGTAGCAATAGTAGTCGCAGTAGTAGTAGTAGTAGTAGTAGTAGTAGTGGTGGTGGTAGTAGTAGTAGCAGTAGCAGCAGTAGCAGTAGCAGTAGCAG